GAAGAGAAGGTCTACATGTTCTTTCATGTATCAGAAACTCCAAAGGTACAAAAACTCTGCAACCACATCAAGAAAAAAAAGGCAATAAAGGTGAAAGTAATCACAGAGCAATTGTTTTGCACTCAATAATGTAAAACAAAAGCAATCCTTTATCAGATGGGAGGAGTAAACTAAGACCAGCCAACTGTCTGCAATTCTCCAAACTTTAGTTCTGAAAAGATGACCATACTTACTTCCACTCCTCCCACCAAAAGAGCATAACATATTAAACCAGGCTGTCAGATAACAAAACCATTAAGGTAATACTTAGTTGACAGCCATTCAAAATGATGTTGCAGAATTATAACTATTGACCTAAAACACAAATAACAGTTATCCCTGAAGGTGTGATTATGAGTGATTTTATTTTCTTCATTTTCTTATCAGTATTTCATAATTTCTCCAACATGTTTATCATTTTTACATTACAAATGGAAGTAAAAAAAAATAATTTAAAAGTATTATTTAAATTTAAAGGTTTCTATTTTCTCTTCCACCATTACATTCTTGGTGACCCTTATAAAGTGATCCCAGCAATTTGAGATATTAATACCTAGTAACATAAGATTTATCCTAAAAACAAGATCTATCTGAATATCACCTTTTTATATAATTTTATCAATTACAGATAAGGCAGTATGATGCAAGATCTCCGGATCTAGTTTGCCAGGATTCAAGTTGCAGCTATACCACTGACTAGCCACATAATTTTGTGCAAATTATTTGACCTCTCTTTGCCAGTTTCTTCATCTGCTATTCCTGACATATAGTACTTCGCTAGCTATTTTATTATCATTTTTTTCACAGGTAAAGATGTTGAAGCACTAAAATCATTTGCCATAAAACAAAGAAGCTGGGGGAGGGAGGGTAGGAAAAGAGACAGGTAGACAGAAAAACAAGAGACAGACACAAACACAACAAAATCCTAGATCTCCTTTACTAACTATATTGCTATTCTTTTGAAAAGACAAATGGAAGCTCTGTAGCATAATGTTCAATAAATATTTCCTTTCTCAATCTATCTCTTTGTTTCTTCTTATACAGAAATAATCCTGGTTTATATTCCTTCTCATCCCTAAACCACCTTTCCTACAGACTTGCATTTTAAAGTTAGCTGTATTAGTTTTAACTCTGTTCCAAGTCAATTGTTTCTGTGGAATTCCATCAGTCAGAAGATACTTGCAATTTAAAAATGCTAGAAACACAGAGAACACTCAACACCCTTTTTGTTTTTTTGTTGTGTGTGTTTTTTTAAAATATATTTTATTGATTTTTTACAGAGGAAGAGAGAGAGTTAGAAACATCGATGAGAGCGAAACATCGATCAGCTGCCTCTTGCACACCTCCTACTGGGGATGTGCCTGCAAGCAAGGTGCATGCCCTTGGCCGGAATCAAACCTGGGACCTTTCAGTCCGCAGGCCGATGCTCTATCCATATCCACCGAGCCAAACCGGCCAGGGCTCAACACTCTTTTTGAATGACTGTTAAGAGCTCACTCTGATCCTAAATGTCCCTGAATTTTATATGCTTAAAATGTCAGAAGAGGAAAAAGTCTTAAGTCAAGAGACTGTGTTTCAATTCTATCATGGACAATAATTAGGCCAAAATTAGCTTCAAAATTCAACAGCCTCTTGGACAAACCTGAAAATGGAGAATTCACAGGCAATTTCAGGCCTCCATGTTTCCTCTGACTGAAATCTCCCGTTTCCCCTTGCCCTTTTAGAGAACACTTGTTATATCATCCATTAAATATCCATCACTTGGTTCATGAAACCTTCCCTCAGTCCAAATCAAACTGCTCCATATTCTGACTGTATTACATCTATTATAGAGGACTATTTATAAACTGTCTACCAGCTCTGAAGTCCCACTTCTTGCACAATGCCTACAGCTCACAGCAGGTCCTGAAGCTGTGTTTAAAAATTTGAGTCTACAAAGTTAAATTAGGTTGCTGTGAAGGTCCCCTGGGCACCATCTGGGAATTTAGCTCAATCTGAAGGTGCATGGAGGCCAATTTGCAGCACAACCACAGCTTTGTCCCAGTCAGATCTACATATGCAGTGCAAATTTATTCTGAGCATTTGTACAAAAGCTACACAAAGGCGTAACTGCTGCTGATTATCTGGACACCCTCTGGGGATTACCTAATCTACCTCACCTTCCTATCCAAAAAAACCTCTTCACCCTGTTCTACTTTGTTCCATGGCATTTAAGACCTCCTACCATACTACAGAGTTGCTTAATGTGAGCTCCACTAATGCAGGAATTTTATCCATTTTGCCCACAAATGATACCCACTGGCTATACATCAGTGCCTGGCATAAGAATGATGTGTTTTTTAAAATATATTTTTATTAATTTCAGAGAGGAAGAGAGAGGGATAGAAACACCAATGATGAGAGAGAATCATTGTTCGGCTGTCTCCTGCACACCCAGTCCTACTGGGGATCAAGCCCGCAACCTGGGCATATGCCCTGACCAGGAATTGAACTACGACCTTCTAGTTCATAGGTCGATGCTCAACCAGAGCCAAACCAGCCACGCTAAATGATGTTTTTTTAACTAAAATTCTTTCCTTCTATCTAAAAGCCCTCATGAGTTATGAGTCATTGCCTTTCTAACACTATCTCACATTGCCCTTATTTCCTGAGCTCCATCCATATATAGTCGCCTTACGAGGAAGCTTCCGAGAACTGGAAGAAAATATTTGTTATTCCACACCTAAACTGCAACTCTTATTTTCTTTGCTCACCTAATGGTATAGAAATAATATTCAGAAAACCATACCAAATAAACAGATGAAATAACCAAAACTTTGTTCTTTACATTCTAATAATTTTTATCTACCACGTCTTTTCTTCAGAGTTTAAAAGTCATGATGGACAAAAACCAAAACCAAAAAGGTTGGATTACTCTTTTGAATTGCTAAGCACACAGGCTAAAGATGTTGAGAATCTATTAACTGTTACATGCGACCTGACTGAAAAATTGTACCCCAAACAGTACAAACCCTCTAATGTATGTGCGTGCGTGCGTGCGTGTGTGTGTGTGTGTGTGTGTGTGTGTGTATAGGCAAGATTTTTGTTTGGTAGCTAATATGCTTCAGGAGAAATGAACTTATCCACTGAGTTTCTATAGCTAATAAATACTGAACCATGTAAAAAATATTATATTTGTATTCACAAAATACCACCAAAACCTTGTCCATCCCCAAATTTCTGCTAAATATAGTTCTTCCCTGCTTCAACCAATTGAGCTGAGTTCAAAGAAACACAAGCTCATCAGCAGCAGTCATGGACATCATCTCCATTACTATTTGGAAGATATAATAATGTAGATGATGTCTACATTACTAGACATCATCTAGTAATGTTCTTGAAGAAATAAAACATCAGCAATGCAAACAAACTCAAGATGAGAAGTTTCAAGCTGAGATGCCTGGATATGTTGACTCAAACTAAAATAGAAAACAAAGACTGGCCCTAGCTGGTTTGGCTCAGTGGATAGAGCATCAGCCTGTGGACTGAAGGGTCCCAGGTTCGATTCCGGTCAAGGGCATGTACCTTGCTTGCGGGCACATCCCCATTAAGGGGTGTGCAGGAGGCAGCTGATGGATGTTTCTAACTCTCTCTCTCCTTTCCTCTCTGTAAGAAATCAATAAAAATATATTTAAAAAAAAGAAAGAAAGAAAACAAAGACTTAGGTCACCCAGTCCTCTCATCTATCACCATGAATCTGAAAAACTCAACTTCTAGGATGAGACTAGAAAAAGGCTTCACAACCTCAAATGTGGTAGATGACTGAAAGCCAGGCCCCCTATGCATTTAGAATGTCCGCAGGTTTGTCTTCTGCGATCTCTCAATTTTGCTTAAACACTCTAAAAAGAATTAACATTCTAGATATGAGCATGTGAAAATAAGGGTTAAGTTCTCAGGACTCAAGTGCCAAGGCGATGACTAAACATTATGTAAGGTGGGGAAAGAGCATCAGAACAGAAAATTCTCATTAAATGATATTTTCTCCACAACAATGAAGGAGTGTATGGGGTGGGTTTCAACCTCCGAGCTTTTATTAGCCTTCTAACCACAGATTAAACATGGATGAATCACAAGGAAGCCTTCTGCAGGGTGCAAGGTCCTGTTTTCAGGGGACGTGAGGCTTGTCCCTCTCTGGCCATCCCATCTTCCTACCCATCCCCCGCCCCCAACATGTCTGGTAGTAAGATGAGGGAAAAGACAGCCAGTACTAAACTAAGCTGTCATTTACAAATGACTTGCAAAACAAGTCCCCAGGGACCTCATCAACCTAGGGCACGCCACCCAAGCCCTAGCTGGTGGTTGTCTGAAGAGATAAAGCCCATATTCTCCAGGAAAGCATGTGAGTTGAAGCAAGGAGCTGCTCCAGACCCCAAGACTCCATCCATGAGGCTGTCACCGGGGCGTCCTGACCTGTAAACAGCCTCGTTAAGTGTGTTCACATCCACAGGACTTGACGCCCCAACTTCCTAAAAACCTAAGAGGGAAGTTTAAAGGGTCCCGGGGTGACGGGGGGGGGGGGGTGGGGTGGGGGTGGGGGAGGTGAGGCGTGCGGCTCTCGCTATCTTCCGTGCTTGGGACCCAGAAAAAAAGCCATGGGCAGGAGGAGACTGAAACGGGCGACGGCACGCGTCGGATGTGGGTCACGCGGAGAGTGGGAGGTATTTCTCCGGAGCGTGCAAATAAACAAACCCCAGAGGGCGAGGTCGGGGTGACGGAGAAATGCGAACGCGGGCACCGGGTGTGTCGGGACTCGGGGTCCGGGGGAGCCGGGGAGGCGGCAGCGGCCGGGCCGCTCGAGCGCGGGGGGAGCGCCCGAGCCGGGCTGCGCGGGGCCAGGCGGGTGGGGGCCGCGGGCCGAGGCGGGCGGGGGCGGCGGCCCAGGTCGCCTGAACAAAGCCGGCGCGCGGGGCCTAGCTACTCACAACAAGAAGCTCATGTCGGCCGCGGCGCGGGCTGCGGGTCGGTAGTCGCGAGGCCTCGGGCGCGGCGGCGGCGGCGGCGGCCCGGGAGGAAGAGGCAAGGAGAGGAAGGCGAGGAGAGGCGGTGCGGGGCGGCGCCGGCGGTTCCGCGGCCGCAACTCGCTCGGCTACGCGAGTCCCAGTGGCACGCAGAGGGGGCGGAAGTGGGGAGCGCTCGGCCAGAGGCGCTCAATGGGAGGGGAAGGAAAGGGAGGCGGGGAAAGGGCGCTCGCCTGCCCCTGACAACAGCCACCGCGGCCGCCGCAGTGCCACCCCTCGTCTCCTCCTCGCCAGCCCCCAGCTGCCCCCACCCCGCGAAGTCTCGCGAGAGCGACGCGCGCCCACTCCGGCCCACGGACGGCGGCCCTGGGCGCTTCGGTTCCGGACGCCTGTGCCACGCCCCGCGAGGACGCTCGGGCGGCGCGGGCGGATCGAGGCCCGACCGCCGGGTGGTGGGTGGTGGGTGGTGGGTGGTGGGTGGTGGGTGGTGGCGGAGGGTTCCGCGACGCTCAGGTGCGTGTCATCCTTGCGGAAGGCGGGGGCTTCAACTCCGGGATGTCGGGCGCCTGCTGTGAGGGATGGAATCGCCATCAGAATTTTGCCCACAGTGAATGCCAGCAAACGATGATGGAAGGTTATGGAGCCTGTCTACTGCTACATAAAAACGGGAGGAAATTTCATCTGGGTGGAATGGTTTGCGTGTGGTTCTGGCAGAAGAGAGGAAAGGATCTAACTGGGGTTTCAAGGTTCCCTGTTGATTCATGGGCGTATTTTAACACCCTGGTCCCAGGATCCATCACTGTCTCAACAGGCAAGCGAGGCTTTCATCAGCAGCTGGGAAAACGGGAAACCTGCTGTGGTGACATATGCGAACCATGTGGAGCATTCTTGAATAGAGTGTAAAGACTTGCCGAGACCCCTTTAACTATGTGAGATGCAGGTCCCTCTATAAGAGGAACTGAATCGTTTCTAGATTCTAGAATGGTTTGTGCATCAGAATGCCCGGGGATTGTAATAGACTTGGGCCCCATACATGCTTACTCGCCATCGCCACTGATGACCAGCCTCCCACAGCATTATCAGTGGGTACCCATTTACTTTACATAAGCGGTGGTCATCTTCTCTATTCAACAAATCCACAAGGAAGTTTTCAAAGAATCTGAGCAAAACTTATGTGCAGCTATTAACCCACAGGCTAATAGACTCGATGGAGGTGCCAATATGAAATTTGTACAATTGAGTGTATTCGCTATTAGCTTGGTATTTTGCTAAATCAAACTACATTTTAAAATAGAATAATTGAAATCTTGACACTATCACAGGAACAGCAGAGGTCCCTAGAATAATTTGAGAAGACTTACTAGTAAAGACTCAAAAGATACAGGAAAGATGGCAAAAGGAGGACTCATCTTAATATAATGTAAATATATATCCAGATCTTGATATGCTACTAACTTAATTCCTTAAGACTCTACTGAAAATAAAACCTAAGATACCATTTTAGGAAATTATGTTTGGGAAGAGCCAGTTAACCTATTAGAACAGCAGTGTCACCCCTTTTAAAATGAGGGCCTTGGATGATTACATGATCTCTAACCCAGTAATGTCCAGTTCTAAAAGTCTGTCATGCTGGGGGCATCCTTCAGATTTTTGGCAGACAGTTCCTATCTGCTCTGATTTGGTAAGGTGGCTTATGTAGCCTTGCTTTTGGTTTAACACAATCTAGGTGAATTTTGTGACACTGTATCAGGGCAATGATTGGTAGAGGAAAGAAGCTGCAAAGATACTCGATGAGTTCTTCAATTAGGGGAGTTGCCTAAAATTAATAGCTGATATAACTTAAATATATTGGACCTAAAAATGAGAGAGCTGTCATGTTAATAATACAGAGTATAATTCATTCAAGTCAAATAATAGCTGTCACTTAAAATTATTTAACACTTCAAAAACATTGAAAAATCTATAATCAAAGCGAGAGTATATTTTTAAATACACATTTCTAATTCCAATTTCTTCACCAATTCATAGAGAGTGTGGCAAATGTAAGTTTATCGTTATTTCATTAGAAAATAATACAATAATAATACAAGAATAGACTCTTTTCACATACAACTATAAACCTGCTTTTGCCCCACTATGTATTTCATACCACTCCCTAAAATTTCAATTTCAAGAAATTATTCTCCAAATCAAAATCTTATTTTGTTTATAAGTCTTGGTTTATGAAGCAAGATTCTTAAAATTTATATTCTACCTGCCAATTTTTCAAAGATTTGAAATTTAAAAATGAATAGGAGGAGGTCTATGCCCTCAAATACTTTTAAATATTCATTTGAGTTACTTGTCATAACAAGTATATTTGTGTAAATATAAACAAACAAGGTAATTACAAAGTGTGGTAAGATATGAAATAAACAGAATAATGTGATTGAGCATAATGGTGAAGGAATAGGACCTAATTTATTTTTTTTTAATTAAATCTTTATTGTTCAGATTATTACATTTGTTCCTCTTTTTTCCCCCCCATAACTCCCCTCCTCCCAGTTCCCGCCCCACCCTCCGCCCTCACTCCCCACCCACTGTCCTCATCCATAGGTGCACGATTTTTGTCCAGTCTCTTCCCGCATCTCCCACACCCCTTTCCCCCCCAAGAATGGTCAGTCCATTCCCTTTCTATGTCCCTGATTCTATTATAATCACCAGTTCATTCTGTTCATCAGATTATTTATTCACTTGATTCTTAGATTCACTTGTTGATAGATGCATATTTGTTGTTCATAATTTGTATCTTTACCTTTTTCTTCCTCTTCCTCTTCTTAAAGGATACCTTTCAGCATTTCATATAATCCTGGTTTGGTGGTGATGAACTCCTTTAGCTTTTTCTTATCTGTGAAGCTCTTTATCTGACCTTCAATTCTGAATGATAGCTTTGCTGGATAAAGTAATCTTGGTTGTAGGTTCTTGGCATTCATCACTTTGAATATTTCTTGCCACTCCCTCTGGCCTGCAAAGTTTCTGTTGAGAAATCAGCTGACAGTCGTATGGGTATTCCCTTGTAGGTAACTGAGTTTCTTTCTCTTGCTGTTTTTAAGATTCTCTCTTTATCTTTTGCTCTTGGCATTTTAATTATGATGTGTCTTGGTGTGGTCCTCTTTGGATTCCTTTTGTTTGGGATTCTCCGCGCTTCTTGGACCTGTAAGTCCATTTCTTTCACCAGGTGGGGGAAGTTTTCTGTCATTATTTCTTCAAATAGGTTTTCAATATCTTGCTCTCTCTCATCTTCTGGCACCCCTATAATTCTGATGTTGGTACGCTTGAAGCTGTCCCAGAGGCTCCTTACACTATCCTCGCATTTTTGGGTTCTTTTTTCATTTTGCTTTTCCGGTTGGGTGTTTTTTGCTTCCTCGCATTTCAAATCATTGACTTGATTCTTGCGCTCCTCTGGTCTGCTGTCGGGAGTCTGTATAATATTCGTTATTTCAGTCTGTGTATGCTTAATTTCTAGTTGGTTCCCCAATATAACATCGAGGGTCTCATTAGTTTTCTTGTAGATCTCATTAAGTTTATCGGCGGCTTCTAAACAGTTCTTGAGAGACCTTAAAAGTGTGGTTCTGAACTCTATATCTTCCATTGACAATTTTGTCCTGTTTCTTTGTCTCCGCATTTTGTTATGCTTCCTTGGTGCACCCCCTAGTGGTCTTTGTGCGCAGTCTTATAGTTAAACCTTGATTGTTGTAGCTAATACCAGGGAGGGTTTGACCTCCAGGCCAAGTGGCTATGAGAATCAGCTGTGTCTGCAGTGAGAGAACTTCTGTCCTCTAGGGAGGTGCTAATCTAGCCTTTGCCTGAGGCTATCCGGCAAGTGCCTGTGTGCAGGGCTTGGGCGGGGCGGGTCGCACAGGATCAACAGGGTGGGCCGGAGAGAGCAGTTATGGCGGCTCTCAGTCCTGTCCCCAGGGGCTCTGCCTCTCTGAGTCCCAGCACCCACTGCAAAGCTCGGAGAGAAAGCTGCACTCGCTATGACCGAAGCCAGACAGTCCCGCTTCTCCTGCTTGAGTCTGGGTCCCTAAAGACTCGCCTGTATCTGGAGCTCAGAGTCTGCGACTCCCTCCCGATTGAAAACGCCAACCGCGCCCTCCGCCGCCAGCCCGCTCCGCGCACTCCGCACCTCAGAATTTGACTTCAGCACTGCGCCTCCTCTGAGTGTCCGTATGCGTTTCTCTTTCCTCCTAGTTGTAGGACTTCCACTCAGCCAGCATTCCTGTGGTTCTGGGTGATGTCCGTTCCGTTTTTTAGTTTCACTTTTTTTTTTTTTTTTTTAAATATATTTTTTTATTGATTTTTTACAGAGAGGAAGGGAGAGAGATAGAGAGTTAGAAACATCAATGAGAGAGAAACATCGATCAGCTGCCTCCTGCACATCTCCTACTGGGGATGTGCCCGCAACCCAGGTACATGCCCTTGACCGGAATCGAACCTGGGACCCTTCAGTCCGCAAGCCGACGCTCTATCCACTGAGCCAAACCGGTTTCGGCTAGTTTCACTTTTGAAGTAGTTGTTCAAGGCAGCAAACTCCGGCGTTAACCTATGCCGCCATCTTGGTTCCCCCGGAATAGGACCTAATTTAGATTGAGTGATTAAGAAAGGCCTTTCTAAGGAGGTGACATTTTTCTGAGACCTGAAGGAAGAGAAGGAGCCAGCTTTGCAGAGTGCTAGGGGATGAACATTTTCTGGTAGAGGGAAGAGCAAGTGCACATGCTGTAAGATAAGAAAGAGCTTAAAGTGTTTGTAGAACTGACAGGTTATGGTCTGGGCAGAGTGAGCAAGAAGAGAGGCATCAGGCAATAATGGGCTTTGATGAACAGAGCATAAGCATGGGCTCACTAGTCTAGGCAAGACATTTTAATTTTATTCTAAGAACATTGAAAAGTCAACAGAGAAGTAAAGTAATAAGAGGATAAGATAAAATAATCTGAATAACATTTATTTTAATTTGGAAAATTTCAAGCATATACAAAGGGGAAGAAATTATTTTAATGAATCCATCATGCAGCTTTAACAATTATCAGCTCATGATCCCTGATTAACATTTTAGAAAGCTCCCTCTCCCTTTTTGTGGAGAATGAGAGCGCTGGCCTGAGTACCTAAGGGTCTTCAGTTAGATTCCAGTCAGATTCCCATCAAGGCCTCCTACTTGGGTTGCAGGTTCAATCCCTGCTCTAGTCAGGGGGCCCCAAGGAAGACAATCACCAATGGATGTTTCTCTCTCTCTCTCTCTC